TCTTTTTATTTCCATTTACATGGAATATCTTTTTCCATCCCCTCACTTTCATTCTGTATGTGTCCCTAGGTCTGAAGTGGGTCTCTTGTAGACAGGATATATATGGGTCTTGTTTCTGTATCCATTCAGCCACTTCTCTGTGTTTTGCTTGGAATATTTAATCCATTTACATTTAAGGTAATTATCGATATATATATTCCTATTACCATTGTCTTAATTGTCTTGGGTTTGTTATTGTAGGTCTTTTCCTTGTCTTGTGTTTCCTGCCTAGAGAAGTTCCTTTAGCATTTGTTGTAAAGCTCTTTTGGCGGTGCTGAATTTTCTTAGCTTTTGCTTGTTTGTAAAGGTTTTAATTTCTCTGTTGAATCTGAATGAGATCCTTGCTGGGTAGAGTAATCTTGGTTGTAGGTTTTCCCTTACATCACTTTAAGTATGTCCTGCCACTCCCTTCTGCCTTGTAGAGTTTCAGCTGAAAGATCAGCTGTTAACCTTATGGGGATTCCCTTGTATGTTTTTTGTTGGGATTCCCTTGTATGTTATTTGTTGGTTTTCCCTTGCTGCTTTTTGTTTTGTTTTCTTTTGTTTTTTTGAGGTATGTGGGCCTCTCACTGTTGTGGCCTCTCCTGTTACGGAGCACAGGCTCCGGACATGCAGGCTTAGCGGCCATGGCTCACGGGCCCAGCCGCTCCACGGCATGTGGGATCTTCCCGGACCAGGGCATGAACCCGTGTCCCCTGCATCGGCAGGCGGACTCTCAACCACTGCGCCACCAGGGAAGCCCCATCCCTTTCTGCTTTTAGTATTTTTTCTTTAATTTTTGATAGTTTGATTAATATGTGTCTTGGCATGTTTCTCCTTGGATTTATCCTGTATGGGACTCTCTATGCTTCCTGGAGTTGATCGACTATTTCCTTTCCCATATTAGGGAAGTTTTTAACTATAATCTCTTCAAATATTTTCTCAGTCCCTTTCTTTTTCTCTTATTCTTCTGGGACCCCTATATTTCGAATGTTGGTGTGTTTACTGTTGTCCGAGAGGTCTCTAAGACTGTCCTCAATTCTTTTCATTGTTTTTTCTTTATTCTGCTCTGCAGTAGTTATTTACACTATTTTATCTTCCAGGTCACTTATCCGTTCTCCTGTCTCAGTTATTCTGCTGTTGATTCCTTCTAGAGAATTTTTAATTTCATTTATGGTGTTCATCATTGTTTTTTTGCTCTTTAGTTCTTCTAGGTCCTTGTTAAACCTTTCTTGAATTTTCTCCATTCTATTTCCAAGACTTTGGATCATCTCTACTATCATTACTCTCAATTCTTTTTCAGGTAGACTGACTATTTCCTCATTTGTTTGGTCTGGTGTGTTTTTAGCTTGCTACTTCATCTGCTGTGTGTTTGTCTGTCTTCTCATTTTGCTTATCTTACTGTGTTTGGGGTCTCCTTTTTGCAGGCTGCAGGTTCATAGTTCCTGTTGTTTTTGGTGGCTGTCCCCAGTGGCTAAGGTTGGTTCAGTACATTGTGTAGGCTTTCTGGTGGAGGGGACTAGTGCCTGTGTTCTGGTGGATGAGGCTGGATCTTGTCTTTCTCATGGGCAGGACTGTGTCCGGTGGTGTGTTTTGGGGTGTCTGTGACCTTACTATGATTTTAGGCAGCCTCTCTGCTAATGGGTGGGGTTGTGTTCCTGTCTTACTAGTTGTTTGTCATAGGGTGTCCGGCACTGTAGCTTGCTGGTCGTTGAGTGGAGCTGGGTCTTAGTGTTGAGATGGAGATCTCTGGGAGAGCTCTCAGTGACTGATATTACGTGGGGCTGGGTGGTCTCTGGTGGACCAATGTCATGAACTCGGCTTTCCCACCTCAGAGGCTCAGGCCTGACACCCGGCCGGAGCACTGAGAACCTGTGAGCCACACGGCTCAGAAGAAAAGGGAGAAAGAAAGAAAGAGAGGGAAAAAAGAGAGAGAGAGAGAGGAAGGAAGGAAGGAAGAAAGAAGAAAGGAAGGAAGGAAGGAAGGAAGGAAGGAAGAATTAAAATAAAAAAATTAAAAAGTAATTATTAAAAATAAAAAAATTAAAATGTAAGAAAAAAAGAAAAAAAGAAAGAAAGAAGGGAGCAACCAAACCAAAAAACAAATCCACCAATGATGATAAGTGCTAAAAATTATACTAAAATAAAACAACAAAAATATGGACAGAACTCTAGGACAAATGGTAAAAGCAAAGCTATACAGGCAAAATCACACAAAGAAGCATACACATACACACTCACAAAAAGAGAAAAAGGAAAAAAGTACATATATCTATATATTAAAAAAAGAGGAAGAGAGCAATCAAATCAATAAATAAATCTACCAATAATAATAATCTCTAAATACTAAACTAAGATAAACATAAAGCCAGAAACAAATTAGATGCAGAAAGCAAACCCCTAGTCTACAGTTGCTCCCGGAGTCCACCACCTCAATTTTGGGATGATTTGTTGTCTGTTCAGGTATTCCAGAGATGCAGGGTATATCACATTGATTGTGGAGATTTAATCTGCTGCTCCTGAGGCTGCTGGGAGAGATTTCCGTTTCTCTTCTTTGTACACACAGCATCTGGGGTCCAGCTTTGGATTTGGCTCCACCTGTGCGTGTACGTCACCTGAGGGCGTCTGTTCTTCATTCAGACAGAACAAGGTTAAAGGAGCAGCTGATTAGGGGGCTCTGGCTCACTCAGGCCGAGGGGAGGGAGGGGTACAGAATGCGGGGCGAGCCTGCGGCGGCAGAGGCTGGCGGGACATTGCACCAGCCTGAGGTATGCCGTGCGTTCTCCCGGGGGAGTTGTCCCTGGATCACGGGACCCTGGCAGTGGCGGGCTGCACAGGCTCCCCGCAGGGGAGGTGTGGATAGTGACCTGTGCTCGCACACGGGCTTCTTGGTGGCGGCAGCAGCAGCCTTAGCGTCTTATGCCCGTCTCTGGGGTCCGCGCGGAGAGCCGTGGCTCACGGCCATCTCTGGAGCTCGTTTAGGTGGTGTTCTGAATCCCCTCTCCTCGCGCACCCCAAACAATGGTCTCTTGCCCCTTAGGCAGTTCTAGACTTTTTTCTGGACTCCCTCCCAGCTAGCTGTGGTGCAGTAGCCCCCTTCAGGCTGTCTTCACGCAGCCAACCCCAGTTCTCTCCCTGGGATCCGACCTCAGAAGCCCGAGCCTCAGCTCCCAGCCCCCTCCCGCCCCGGCGGGTGAGCACACAAGCCTCTCGGGCTGGTGAGTGCCGGTCGGCACGGATCCTCTGTGCGGGAATCTCTCCGCTTTGCCCTCCGCACCCCTGTTGCTGTGCTCTTCTCTGTGGCTCCGAAGCTTTCCCCCTCCGCCACCCGCAGTCTCCGCCCGTGAAGGGGCTTCCTAGTGTGTGGAAACCTTGCCTCCTTCACAGCTCCCTCCCACTGGTGCAGGTCCCGTCCCTGTTCTTTTGCCTCTGTTTTTCCTTTCTTCTTTTGCCCTACCCAGGTACGTGGGGAGTTTCTTGCCTTTTGGGAGGTCTGAGGTCTTCTGCCAGCGTTCAGTAGGTGTTTTGTAGGAGTTGTTCCACGTGTAGATGTATTTCTGATGTATTTGTGGGGAGGAAGGTGATCTCCACGTCTTACTGCTCCGCCATCCTGAAGGTCTCCTTCCAAAATAATTTTTAGTATAGAAATAATATCAAGAAATCAAAGAAGCTGAAAATAGTCACAAATAGGAGACTCACTTAAATTTAAATTTCTGAGTCATATTTAAATTTAAATTTAAATTTCTGAGCATTTGGATTTTAAATTGTGGTTTAACAGGTGAGACTATAAAATTACTGGATTATTGTCAAGATTTCAAGTTTGAGCTGTGTAAGGGAGTGATATAAAATGATTGGTGGTTTTTTGAAGATTGTATGTTTGAATAATAAGTGTTAGAAATGAATAAATGTACTCTTTCAGGAAAAAAGCCAAAAAGAAAGATATCTATTAACATCTCTTTTTGAGAGGCGATGTAACACAGTGGTTAAGAGCATGGGCTTGGGGGCTCACCAGCTTGGATTAGATCCTGGCTTTGCTACATACTAGCTCTGGATCAAGTTGCTTAAATGTTTTGAAAGGTAAGGATAATAGGACCTACCTTAAAGGGTTATTGTGAGCATCCCATGAGATAATAAATTTAATTGCTCAGAACAGTGTCTGGTGCAGAGTAAACCTGCAAGAAATATTAGGCATCCCTGTTGAAGCATGTAAAGCGTGCCATTTTTGCAGTGGCATTTTCTGAGTGAGGTGTTAGGATAGAAAGGTGTTGACTTTCTCTGTGAAAGGTATCCTGGCATTTGTGTTATCATGTGTAGCTAGGCTACAACCATGAGTACACACTGCTGATACAATTTTTATATTGTTCATTGTGCATAAAGACTTCTGAACCTTTTGTGTTGTGGGCAGTAAATCTTTAGAATGTGTGTCATTGGTTTGTTTTCTGTATTCAGTGGTGGTTTTCCAAGTTAGTATTTGATTGTAGGACCCATGGATTGAAACTTTTCTTTTTAATGGGCTGAGAAACAGTGTGGACTAATATTATTATGCATATATAAAATATGAATTTAAATTTTTACTTGCCTCACAGGCATTTGGATGAGAAGTTCTTCTCCTGTTCTGGGATAATGCTGGACAATGCTTACATCTACACATTTCCTTGGTTTTGGCCTGCCTTTATTTTTGGCTTTGAGAAAAACATGCGTAATCAGAGGGAATGATCAACGTCCCCTTTCCCCTTTGAGGGTGTCCACAGACACCCTCACACCCACTTCAGATCTTCCTATTTTTGTGCAAAGGAGAACTTTTTGTAGGAGGGGGAAAGTCTGGGATTTCTTTGAGATGTGTTGGCAGGAAATGTTATCCGTAGCCAGCAAGCTAACAAACATAGGGGCATAATTGTGTTTCTTACAACATTTTTTAGGTATGGTTTGTTGGAGGAGAATTTCAGAATATCTTTTTTTTTTTTTTTTTTTTTTTTTTCCAGAAAGCAACAACCTAGAACTATCTCAAGGCTTAGGAACTTTTCCTTCTGGCTATTATTACAAAAATCAGTGGAGGCCCAGAAAGTTTAAGATGCGCCAGTTTAATGACCCTGACAACATTACAGAATGCTTACAGAGAAAAGTGGTGTATTTATTTGGTGACTCGACAATCAGGCAATGGTTTGAATACCTCACTACATTTGTTCCAGGTTGGTACTTTGCTTTTTGTTTCATAACTCTTTCCCACACATACAAAATTCAGCTTTGAAATAAGCAGACCCAGTCCGGTGCCTGAAGAAAGGCATCAGGTGAGGAAGCAGTTATTTCTCTGTAGGACTGAAGAGGTGTCCTAACCTTGGAGAGATGAGTGATAGTTTCTGATCAATGGTGGGGCTGTGATGCATCGATGAAAGCACTGGCTGCTTGTTGAAGTTCATACTACGCATGAGCTGTGTGACCCTGGATGAGTCATCTACTTCTCAGGGCTTCACTTTTCCAAGTGTGAGCTGAGGCAGCAGGACACTATCACCTCACAGGTGTCTTTCACTTCTAGCATTCTGGGCTGTGAGATAGAAGTGAACATTTCCAGTTGTTTCTCTTGTAGTTCTGTTTGGTCCAACTCCAAGTTTATCATAGATTTAAGTGGAAGGAGGCAGTGAAACTGTCACACATTTTAATGCATCCATGCGGCAGAGCCATCCCTGCTCACCCCTTGGGCTGTCCATTGGTGTGACTCTGAGGTGGAGCTGCCTCCCAGCAAGGGAGATTCTGGTCAGTCCCAGTCTTCTTAGCTTCTTGGTCTCCCTGCTGGGCTCTGGGGCAGCTCTCCAGACTTGGAATAAAACCCCAGTCATGGGAGGGCCATCCCTTATTCACAGTGGGCCTTTTCCTCTTCCTGGAAGTGGTGTGGATGGAGTGAGGAGGGATGGATTTGGGGCAGCAGGACTAAAGGCCCCGCTTAGAGTTTAGAGAGCTGATGAATAGTTCTGTGGGAACTGGGTTTTTTTGTTTGTGTGTTTTTAATTTTTTTTTTAACTTTTTATTTTTGGAGTATAGCCGATTAACAATGTTGTGATAGTTTCAGGTGTACCGCAAAGCAACTCTGCCATACATATACATGTATCCATTCTCCCCCAGCCTCCCTTCCCATCCAGGCTGCCACATAACATTGAGCAGAGGGAACTGTTTCTGATGGCTGTTTATGGACAGGGCTTTTCATAAAGCAAATTCCCACAGTTGGGAGTGGTTGTGTGTGATGTTTTTCTTTTTTCTCTTTTATTTATTACATCAACTTAGTTTCAAATTTAATTTTTAGAAGGAAGGAAAGGAGGAAGTAGATATGACCCCTCAAAATAGAAAGTTAATTCCGTGTTTGATTTGCTTGCTTTTTTATTGAAACAGACATAGCAGAGTTCTAGTTGATGAAGTGTAAGTTAAAAAGCAGGAGAAGGGAAATCATTTGTATGACATGATGCTAGGCACAGTTCGTTGTTGACCAGGTAGGGCCCTCTAGGAGCCTGTAGTTGCTTGATTCTTTTCTTTTTTTTAAAATAGATTTATTTTATTTATTTATTTTTGGCTGCGTTGGGTCTTCCGTTGCTGCGCGTGGGCTTCCTCTAGTTGCGGTGAGGGGGGACTTCTCTTTGTTGCGGTGCGAGGACTTCTCATTGCGGTGGCTTCTCTTGTTGCAGAGCACAGGCTCTAGGTACATGGGCTTCAGTAGTTGTGGCACACAGGCTTCGGCAGTTGTGTTCGTGGGCTCTAGAGCGCAGGCTCAGTAGTTGTGGTGCACAGGCTTAGTTGCTCTGCGGCATGTGGGATCTTCTCGGACCAGGGCTCGAACCCGTGTCCCCTGCATTGGCAGGCGGATTCCTAACCACTGTGCCACCAGGGAAGCTCCAGTTGCTTGATTCTTAAGTTCTAATGACGTAGCTTGGTATTTCCTTTCATAGAAATGATCACATCGCGTGTCTTGAGCATTTTCCACCCTACCCTTTGCAGACAGATCTTTACCCGATAAAGCCTTGTGTTGGGCTTGATCTTAATCAAAAGAAAGAATGGTTAATTGAGCTTTTATTCAATTTAAGTGGGGCCACATGCTAAGTAGTAATGAATTAGGTGTGAGAATTTAGAAGAGGAGCCTGGGAACTCATGGAGAAAAAAGTGAAACCTTGACTTTAACCCTTAGAGTAAATAATATGGGACAATTATAGTTTGATGGTACTTCTTCAGAATTGACTGTAAACTCCTTGAGGGCAAGGACTGTGACTTACCCATCTGAGCATTGCTGGCTTTTTTTTTTAAAGCTGGGAAACTATTCTAATTTATTTTATTATTTTTTTATTCAATTTTTTTTTTCTTTTTGGCCGTGCCATGAGGGATCTTAATTCCTTGACCAGGGATTGAACCCATGCCCCCTGCAGTGGAAGTGTGGAATCTTAACCACTGGACCGCCAGCAAAGTCCTGCATTGCTGGCTTATAGCACAATAGTGCTGGCACGGAATAGGTGCTTAGGAAATGTGAATTCAGTTTGGCTGCCAAGGGTTACTTAATCTGGTCTGTGTAAGGCACTTATAGGAATATTTAGGGGTATGAGACAGACCCTCTTTCCTCATGGGGTGAATGTTCAGTGATGAATTGTACAGCCTTTTTGAGGAGTAATAAGGGAGAATAATAATTGATTCCTGGGATCTTCAGAGGAGCAGGACTTGGAAACACAACTTAGATAAAGTAGAGGGAGAGAAGGGAATTCTAACTTGTGCTGCTGTGTTTGTTATGACAGAGAGAGAGAGGTTTTCTAAGACATAAACAGGGTTTTCCATCCATAGGGTGAAATTGAAACTCAAAAGAAGCATGGTTGCTTCCTTCTTTTGCTTATTTCAAAAAGAGGTATTTGGTTACTATTATGTGTTTGTAAAAAAGCAGAAGTTATATAGTTTTTGACCTGGAAGAAATAATATTGATCAGTTAGAACAGTAATGTGTAAATGCCAAATCGATGTTTAGATATTCAACAGTCAGTGCAAACAGGAAGATTTCTTGGCCTAATAATTAGAGGTAAGCAGGTTATTTTGCTTCTCAGGTCTAGAATCAATTGCTGATGGTATTACTTGTAATGTCATGCTTATGGAGTGATTTAAATAATCAATATGTTAAAATATAAAGGTCCATTGAAGCCAGGGGGGCCAAGGTGAAGTGAAATAGGTGTTTCCTTTACATTTGTATTGTACCTTTTTGTTGTTTTATTTTAAAAAATTGTTCTTTGAAGCCACTAACTAAAGAATAATCAAAATATATCTCTTGGTTTAAACATTCTTATGAATCTGAGTTTCCCTTGTTTCAGATTTAGTGGAGTTTAACTTGGGTAGCCCCAAGAATGTGGGTCCCTTCCTTGCGGTGGACCAGAAGCACAACATCCTGCTCAAATACCGCTGCCACGGTCCACCGATCCGCTTCACGACCGTCTTTAGCAATGACCTCCGTTATGTGGCGAATGAGCTGAATGGCATCGTGGGAGGGAAGAACACAGTGGTTGCCATAGCTGTGTGGTCTCATTTCAGCACCTTCCCCTTGGAAGTGTATATCCGTCGGCTCAGGAACATCCGTCGAGCCGTGGTTCAGCTCTTGGATCGAAGCCCTAAGACTGTGGTAGTCATCCGGACAGCCAACGCCCAAGAGCTGGGACCTGAAGTGAGCCTTTTCAACAGCGACTGGTATAACTTTCAGCTGGACACCATCCTTCGGAAGATGTTCTCAGGAGTTGGGGTGTATCTCGTTGATGCCTGGGAGATGACCCTGGCCCATTATCTGCCCCACAAGCTACATCCAGATGAAGTTATTGTGAAGAACCAACTGGACATGTTCTTGTCCTTTGTGTGCCCCTTGGAGAGCTAGTCTGCCCTGCAGGGGACTGGAGGAATCACATTCAGTGACCTTCTCTATCACCTGCACTATGGAAAGTTTATGGGTGGCCCTATGGAGAGATGGCTGCTGTTGATATGTATTTAAAATTTTAAAAAAGAGCTGGACTTTATATAATGACTTGTAAGGAGCTTAGAAAATGCAGATTACACTTATACCTACCTATAGGATTTTTTCCCATTTTGACTTATCTATGGGGGAACGATTATTAACAGCATTTACACTCTATTGCCCCCGTAACCAAAGATTTAGTATCTGAGTGTGTTTGAACTAGCTTCTCCTGGGAGGGGAGGGGATACTGTACTAAAAAGTGTGAAAAATGTTGTGACCTAAGTGGAAGGGACAAGTTTGGTTGGCAGTGGAGTGTTTGTATCTTGTCTGGTAAAGGAAATTGAGCACATCTACATGAATAGCGTAATTGGTACATCTTCAGTGGGAAGTGAATTAACCCCAAGTCTTGTAGTCAGTGGCTCCTGTAACACACTGAAGACTGCTGTGTCTTAGAAGTTTATCTTGATAATCCAGTTTTTTCTGGATTACTTGAAAAGGCCAGTGTCCTTGGTCAGAACTTTCTAATGAGAATATTTACAGTTTCCGGTTTTTATCTAGAAAAGAAGCAAAAGGGAAATATGAAAGCAGTATATATAAAATCTGTGCGTTGAATTGATATTTGCATTGGGTAATTGCTACTTATCTGATTCAGCTAAATTTTACAGGATGAATACTTATTCTAAAATAACCACTTTTGGAGCTGGAAGGGGAAAATCTATAAAGGAAAATTTATTTTTGTGTTCTGAAGTTTGAGGGTTTCAAGATTTGACTTTTATGTAAAGATTGCTATTTGTTATAAAGTTGTAGAAATTATTTCCATCAATTTCGAGTATTTCTTTTTTGGTTGTTATTTTGAATTGCATACCCAAATTAGAAATTAAAATCTAATTAAAAATTAAATTTAGATATTGAAATCTGTGATGGGTTGATTTGGGCATAAGGTACACACATTCTGTCATGCTTGGAAGTAAAAGGTGCTGTTCATATTGGCTCTCTTAAAATAATTGAATTATCAATTTTACTTGACTGTCTTTACCTTATTAATTTTAAATAAGTTTAAATTAATTTGTGCCATTTTAGTAAGTACTCTTTTTGAGCTACAATATAGTTTTGTTTATCCCTAAATGAACATGTGAAGAAACTGGGGAGGCTTTAGAGATGAAGACAGATGCCTAAAGCATGAAAAAATACACCCTTAGAAGAATGGGTCAAAGAATCTGGGTTTCGGGCTTCTCTGGTGGCGCAGTGGTTGGGAGTCTGCCTACCGATGCAGGGGATGCGGGTTCGTGCCCTGGTCCAGGAAGATCCCACGTGCCGCAGAGCGGCTGGGCCCGTGAGCCATGGCCGCTGAGCCTGCGCATCCGGAGCCTGTGCTCCGCGGGGGGAGAGGCCACAACAGTGAGAGGCCCGCGTACCGCAAAAAAAAAAAAAAAAAAGAATCTGGGTTTTTAACTTAAAACAGAGTTTAAGATCTTTCTTTCCTAGCCTTGAGGGCCACCTTCAATTTTATAAAATAAATATGATTTTAAATTATTTTCTGAGTCTGAAGTGGAGCAGGTAGTTAAATATATTAAGATGGCTTAATTTTAATGGTCTTTAACCTTTAGAGTGTCTAAAGATCACTTGGAATATTTTTTTTTGTTTTTTTTAAATTAATTTTTTTTGGCTGCGTAGGGCCTTCATTGCTGTGTGCGAGTTTTCTCTCATTGCGGTGAGCGGTGCCTACTCTTTGTTGCGGTGCGTGGGCTTCTCACTGTGGTGGCTTCTCTTGTTGCTCAGCGTAGGCTCTGGGCGTGTGGGCTTCATTAGTTGTGGCACATAGGCTCAGTAGTTGTGGCTCGTGGGCTCTAGAGTGCAGGCTCTGTAGTTGTGGCACATGGGCTTAGTTGCTCTGTGACACATGGGATCTTCCTGGGCCAGGGCTCGAACCCATGTCCCCTGCACTGACAGGCGGATTCTTAACCACTGCACCACTAGGGAAGTCCCTCACTCGGAATATTTGATAAAAATGCAGAATTAGGGGCTACGCCTCTGGGAATTGTGGAATCAACCTTAGTGACAAATGCCCAGGAGTTCTGATGCAATGGTGGTATTCTATGTTTTGAGAAACACAGAGGGAAGATAGAACTAAGGAAATAGTATTTTTTGTCTATTATTTTAGGAGCTTTTCCCATAACATTTAATTCTGATCATGGTCTAATAGTGCAGATAATAGCTCCATTTTATAGATGAGAAACTTGAGTTTAGATTTGAACTAAGGTATGTGAGAGTCCATAGCCCTTTTCAACTAGAATTTTTTGGATTTTGTAAAGAGGTTTTATTTTTTATGAAAGAACTTTTGAGCATTTACTCAAGGATCACTGGAGGAGGCTGAGTCATGTCTTCCCAGGAGAATTTCAATTTCCACTGCCTCTCCAGAGCTTTGGAGTGGTACTACTTGTTTGTGCAAATGATTTCTCATGATCTCATCCCATTAATTTTTTTTTTGAGGGGGGGTATGCGGGCCTCTCACTGTTGTGGCCTCTCCCGTTGCGGAGCACAGGCTCCGGACGCACAGGCTCAGCGGCCATGGCTCACGGGCCCAGCTGCTCCGCGGCATGTGGGATCTTCCCAGACCGGGGCACGAACCCGTGTCGCCTGCGTCGGCAGGCAGACTCTCAACCACTGTGCCATCAGGGAAGCCCCATCCCGTTAATTTTTGATTTAGTGACATGTCCTAAAGATCTGATGACACAGTTTCTTAAAGTATTCTCATTCACTCTGTCCTTCTAATGTGTCTTTCTATGCTCGTGTGGAAGTTAAAAAAAATTTCTAAGTGTAGAGTTCGGAATATTACCTAAATCATTCTCAGAACAATTTTAATTTCTTCTGAAAAGTTTATTTTAAGCCAGTACCATGTGTTTCCATTATAAATGTAAAGGATATTAAATAAACATATTGTAAAATCTAGAAAAAGAAAATCTATGGATAGAATCCATAATTCTATCATCTGTGATGAGCATTAGCAGTTTGGTTTATTTTCTTCTAGGTTTTTTAAATCACATAGCTGTAATCACAGAGAACATGTAATTTTTATCTGTGTTTTTAAATTTAACATGCAAATATTTTTCTATGTTTTCATGACTTAATTATAAAAGTCTGCCTAACAGTTTAGCTAAATGATGTCATTACATAGGTTGGCCATTTAGATTTATAATGAAATATTAAAATGGTGATTAATATATAATTTCATTGGGTTAAAATATCGATTTTTATTTTAGAATGACAGCATTAACTTCATTTAGTGGATCTCCTCTATTCTAGAACTCAGATGATTGATTTGATGCTACTTGTGAAAGGGAGAATCCATAATAAGGCTCTTCTATGAAAATTATATTTTATAAAAGTTAAGAGTAACTTTTCTTTAGCAAACATAAGTTTGTTGTTCCAATATGATCCATTTTACCTTTCTGAACAACCATCATTTTGTTAAATACCAACTGACTGATACTTCCCAGCTTCAGATATTAAGTTTCAGATTGATACATCTGGGCACTTGCCAAGAATGTGTATGGTAAGCCTTTATATCCGTGTGTTGCAAGCCAGAGGTGAGTCTGCTTCTGGGCCCTATTAAAGGAAATAGCAGTTACCCAGAAAGAACTAGGAAATAAAACTCCAAGGGAAACAACAGAAATAAGACCTCCCCACTCCGTTCCCACCCCACTCCCTTCCCCCGCAAAAAAAAGCTGCTCAGCATTATCTTTGTAGATCTGGGTAAATTCAGCTTTTAAAGATTAGCTAGTCGCTCATGCCAGAAATCCAAGTGTATTCATTCTCTAGTGTTAAACATTTTTCTCTCCAGGCTTTATATCTTCAGTGGAGTGCATTTGCCTGACTCCTCAGTGTGCAATAAATAAATAAGGTCTGGAAAGTGTTCTTTTCCTCTTTGAAAGTGAGACCACAGTCCCAGAGTGCTAGGGGCGCCTAGGAATCCTGGGGGAGGACGGGGGTGAGGGTGGAAAATCAGAGGGTTGTTGAGGGCATCAGTTTATAGGATGCAGGAGGTAGAAGGGCACAAAATGCACTTCAAGTTCACTTTGTCTCAGAAGTGCACTTACAGCTTAACTTTTTAGAAAACGTGTGAACTTAAGTGTGTTACATTTTGCTTTTCAATATTCTGCGTGAAATGAGAGGAAGTCAGGCTTCTTTTAAGAAGGATCGTCTGCTGTCAAAGTTTTAAGGATATTCTGGTGTTTAGGTCTAGATGACCATTCCTATTGGAGAAGCAGATATTTCCTGTCTAATTCTAAAGCTGGATTGTAAGACTGCCTTGGGGGGGGGCGGGGGGGGGGAAGCAGTACAGAGATGACAGTCGAAAGTGTCCCAAAAGAAAAAGAAGCCACAGTGAAACCTAATGTAGAAGGTATCTTTTCACTGTTGCGCAATGGTTCATTCTCTGTTTAAATTCACCCCACATGAAAATAATGTAATCTTCATGTTACGGGACCACTGCTTTATTTACATCGCAGATTCCTTGTCCTTTAGTTTGTCAGTGAAGGCACACGATGGGGACACTACTTTCTGATTGCCATATTTGAAAAGCCGCGCTGTAGAAAGCATCCCCCTCCTCAGCCCCCGCACTTAAAGGCTGTACAGAAAAAGCGAAAGAAGCAGAGAAGGTGAATCTGAGGAGGGTGCAAGGCCAATGCAGGCAGTAAGTTCACTGAGACGTTTAAAAAAGGCATCCCTAAAAAAAAAACGTTTTGTTTACAGATTTGCTTCTGATTCCTCTGCGCGGTTCCAGTCCAGGTCTTGGAGCCGACCCTTGAGGGGAATGTCCGGGACTAGGGTCGGTACCTTTCTGGCCTGGGAATTTCCAGGGTGCAGAAAAAAGTACACGAACGAAGTCCTTGCTGCTCCCTTCCCGCCGTCTCCGCCCCTCCTCTGTGCCCACGCAGCCCCTTTCGAATGAGAGTTGGACTGTATTCTGTATTTTAGGAAACAGGTCCTTAGCATCCCCCGCCCCCATCCCTTTCTAGAGCGGTGAGCAGAAAGCGAACGCTATAAAGGGGGCCAGGGAGAGGGCCTGGCCTTCTCTTGCCAAGAGGTCAGACGCCGGCGAGTTCTTAGAGAAAAAGGCTGCTTAACTGTCGCTGCTGCTTATCATGTAACCTCAAAAGGAAACTGATCATCTTTCTCGTGCTCTCACGTACTTGGGTTATTATCGCTGATTACAGCTGGAAACAGTTGATTTGCCTTTACGTATTTGTATGACTTGACTCTTCAAACACAAAGGTATATTTTTATTATTTTATATTTAGTATGAAAAAGTATCTTAAAAGCTTTTTTTTTTCTTTTCCCATATTCAGATTCTTTACTTTGGAGTCACTTTCTGATATTTGGGTGATCATACTTGTTTTGGGGCAAAATATTAGGGGGCAGTATTTTGGGGAAGGAAAATTTGGGATGTTTTTATAGTTTGGTAATGACTATGAATTGTGTCTGTTCGCCTTGAAGGCCCAGGAAAGTCTAAGATGCTGATGGAAGAGGTTGGTGGGATGGGTGATGAAAGTATCATAAATCTAATGTAAAAACTGTTATTTAGCCAGTGAAGTAGGCTTTGATACTCCTAGTTAGAAATCTCCCAGGAAGTTTGAGTGTGGGCTTAGAGGTATACTTTCTCACCAAGGGTAGGCATAGAGCTATATCTTTATGGAAAAATATATCTGAGTAGATCAAAATGTTGTATAGCATGTAGTTCTTATATTACCTTTGTAAAATGAAAGACATGTATTACAAGACCATTGTATGAACAAAGGAAATCTTGAAGTTTGATGACT